AAAGTGAGGATTAGTGGTATAATTAGGTTATGTAACAAATATCTAATTAATTAAAAATTAAAAATCATTAAAAGGATAACCAAGCTTATTAAAAGCTAAAGAAAGTTGATTTTATTAATGCAAATTGACAAATAATTATAAGTAAAATTAACATTATCATTTGGTCGGGTTGGATTTGACTTGCATTATAGAGGATGGGGAATGGAAGTGTTGGAGTGTGAAGGATAATATAAGTATTGCTTCTCAACCCTACCTTACTATGCTAACTCCCATTATGGAAGAGTCAACTAAGTCTAAATCGATTGGATTCTCCTGAAGAAGATGTTGTTGTCCTAGATGCAACTAAGCTAATAAAAGAGTTGAGCACCATTGTTATTGATGTTGTGAACTTCACTACTGCACCTTTCAACCATGTTATTGAAAATGTTGAACTGTCAAACTAATGTTTCAGTTAAGACTATTACTCCTCCAAGTGATGAGCCTGTTGTTACAACTTTGAACTTAAGGACCAACATGATCACTTTTACTTGTATTCATAAATGGTGAAATTTATTTTGTATTTTGCGACATCTAATAAACTTTTGTCAAACACGTTTTAATTGAATATTTTGTTAACGCTTGCTTGTTACCTAAATATAGACATAAATGTCTTGACTCCTTAATAGTCACATCATTTAATTTTGGCATTTAATACCATCTAATAAGGTTGAAGAGTAGGAAAGTTGACCTACATGTCTGAGTTGGGTAATGACCATCAACTTAACTTGTTGTTTTTCTAACCTACAAGATTTGAGTTGCGTAATAACCATCAACTTAGCTTACGATTCTCTTGACCTACAAGTTTGAGTTGTGTAATGACCATCAAATTAGCTTATGGTTCTTCCAACCTATTTGTTTGAGTTAGGTAACGACCATCAACTTAGTTTGAAGTTCTTTTGACCTACAAGTTTGAGATGGGTAAATACCATTGCTTTAGCTTGTGATTCTTCTAACCTACTAGTTTGAGATGGGTAAATACCATCAATTAGCTTGTGATTCTTCTAACCTACAAGTCTAAGTTAGGTAATAGCCATCAACTTAACTTGTCATTTTTTTGGCTGACAAGTCTAAGTTGGATAATTACCATCAACTTAGCTTTATATATATATATATATATATA